TCTTCGAATCCGACTAATTTTACGAATATGCAAGTTATTGAAACACATGCACAGTCAGTAGATAATAGATATATGTATTAAAACATTATGTCTTGTTTAGCATAAAAAAAAAAAATGTTTTTCTTACATGAAAAAACGTTATAATAACAATCACTTATGAAATATTTCAGTTACTAGGCAGATTTATTTATCGTGAGACAGAAATTTGAACTATATGATTCGAAAATATTTTAAATTACAAAGTACCTATAAAAATCCTCATGATTCATGAATCTTTGTCTGCCAATTAAGTAGTGTTAGTTACGCAAAGAAACGACTACGGAGAAAGGCTCATAAGTACGATTGAGTTAAGGCCCACTTATGTCACAACTAAGGCCCATTTAACGAGCAACGAACAATTCACCAACTTGGTTAAATGCTACTACTTGTGAGATGGATCAAACATTATTGGTTGAGAAGAGACTAAGGAGGAAGATAAAAACAAACAGAGAACCATAGAGAGAGCCATTGCGCTTGTGTTTCGGTCTAGAGAATTTGTACATAGTGAGAGAAGTATAATTAATAGTAAGAAGATACTTCATTTGAAAATAAATACTGTAGTACTTAATGTGGAGTAATAATTAAGGAGCTATTTAACTTGATTTATAGCAGCCAGAATTAGAATTTGTCGATCACGCTTGTCTGATTATTACTCATTCGACTAGAAACGTAGAAAGTAAATGCAATAATCAATCTCTCCAAGTTCCAATTCAAACTTTTCATTACGATTTTCATTATTTAAAACCTATTAATAAATATTTGTAAAATAAACTCAATAATCAAAATGCCTCCGTAGCATAGTGGTATTGCGTTCGCTTCGTAAGCGAAAGGCCGCGAGTTCGATCCTCGCCGGGGGCTATTTATCTCATTGATTACTTTTTTTTTCCAACCAGATAAAGAGGATCCTACCTTTCACAATGAATTTTACCTAATCGGTTTAATATCTCATATTAAATCACTACGCTTTGTTAGATTTCTATCTTTTTGCCTATTTATTCCTCTTGCTAGGATCAACAACAATAAATCTTTCTTGTTTTTTTCCTAGACGAACCTATACGCTATTCCTCAATTTTTGTTATGAATTTTGTGGATCAATTTTTGTTAATAGTCTATGGCTACAAAATAGATATCGATGCTAACAAAATCGTCTACATTCAACAAATATCCGATCTATGGTCTCGGTCTCCACAAATAAATGAAATATATAAAATACATTCACTTGATTGTGATGTAATAACAAAAGTTTGAGGAGGCCTTCATAAATTTATAACAAAGTCAAAATCATTTGAAACAAAACAAAAATAAAAAAAGCATACGATAACCAATCGTTTATAAACAACGTAACTTTATTAGAAAATGAAATAACACAAACGAAAATTATTGCACCAATCG